GTAAAGTAGCTTTTCGCACGGAACAAGAATCCGAGTTTTTGTGAAGCAGCTTTTGCGATGGATCTGACATGATTATCCCATGAAAGAGTGTTGCTGATGGAAATACCGAGCATAGATATGGTTGGCTTGGTGGGGATGGTGGAGCCAGACATTACAATATCGGGCATACTGAGTTCCGCGTTTCTAGAGAAAATGCAGGCTTGAGTTTTGGTGGCGTTGAATTCAACTAGGTTGTTTGTTCCCCAGGCTGTGATTTCTGCAAGATCTTCATTGACAGCATTGACCTGCCTGCGCCGTGAGTTCTTGGTTTCCTGGAAATAAATGGGAATTCTGGAAGAGAACGCAGTATGGAGGGTACTATCATCTGCAGAGCTGTGGATGGGGCAATTGTTACTCCCAACAGATCATTGATATGAAGCAGGAATAATGTTGGTGCCAAAATTGATCCTTGTGGAACGCCGAAATTGATGCCAATGGTATCAGACGATACACCGTCCACCACCACGTGAAGCGATCTGCCTGAAAGAAAACTCGATAAGAGATGGCATAGCTGAGGTGGTAAGCCGTATGATGGTAGTTTGTGGAGGAGTCCTTCGTGCCAAACACGGTCGAATGCTTTCGATATGTCCAACGCGACAGCTAGAGATTCCCCGTGTTTTTCTATTGAAGATTGCCATAAATGTGTGACGTAGGCAAGTAGATCTCCAGTAGATCTTCGTTGGCGAAAGCCGTATTGTCTATCATTGATGATTCCTGAGCTCTCCAGATATTTTATAAGCTCAATATTGATGGCTTTCTCCATCACTTTGGAGATTACTGATAACAGGGCAATGGGCCTGTAGTTGTTGGGCAGGTTCTTGTTCCCTTTTTTGGGGATTGGTTGGACTCTAGCTGTCTTCCAGCATGATGGAAAAATAACCGACCTGTACGAGATGGTAAACAACTTGCAGAGAATCGGTGTTAATTCTGGTGCACATTTTTTGAGGATAATGGGTGGAATTCCATCAAGACCGTTAGCCTTATTCGTTTTGAGACCAAGAAAAATTCGTCTGATAGTGCGTTGACGGAAGACGATTTCGGGCATTCGACTCTCGACGGGTGGAATGACTGGCGGCAGTTTTCCTTGGGAATATAAAGTAGAGTTTGCTGCGAACATCTCTGAAAAAATATTTGCTTTCTCCTGCGATGTTGTTGCTAATGTGCCATCGGATTTGGACAGTGGTGGAAATGAACTATTAGTGAAATTTCTTCCGACCGCTTTAGCAAGGGACCAAAACGAACGGGAGCCATTGGGGCAATATATGAGTTTCGATCTTATCTTGGCATTGTATGTTTCTCAACTGCAACTATATATTTTCGACATAGTATTGCTCTGAGACAATAGGTAAATAAGTTTCATCCTTAACGTTAATACACTGTTTCATATTCATATTCGTGATCAATTTCATCGACCATTATGTTTCTTCTTTATATCACGAAGCAATATATATTTCTCCCATTTTCATTGTTATTAGCTTGATAATGAACTATTATTCAAATTTGTTTCGAAACTTGTCATTCGTATTTTTCTATATAATCAATTTGCTGAGCTACGGCGAGGGGCAAAATTGGCCACCAGTTATCCCGTTAAAATGTCTGATGTGGCGCCGCTGCGATCTCAATCGCCGGGATGCTCTGACGTATCAGTTTGTTAGGAGCCCTGTTGTCTGAGGAAC